TTTGTACCTTTTTCATTCCTCCCTGCAGCAAATATTTGTCAAGTGCCTACTCCATCAGCCTGACTCCTGTCTGTCACCCTGACTTGGCTATCAGTTCCTGGAGGGATGAGATCATGTCTCATGCATAGGGGTTTCAAGGGAGAACAGATATCCTGGTTTACCCAGCGTGGTTCCTGTCTCACCTGTTATCCGGGTGAAATTATTGGTAGTGCCCCCTTTCACTCTGGTTTAGATGAGAAATCATACCATCACTTTAGTTTTATGCACAATAGATGCTTACAATAACTGTTAATTGGAAAAAAGAATGGATATGGCAGATGAATGAATGTAATTTGCTTCTCACGTTTGGAGATGCCCTCTTACCCTGAGCTGAAGCCTGGAGAGAACACACTACATTGTGGACAGGTCATTTCACCCTGGGCTCTGTTGCCTTTGAGGGGTTTATAGGAATCCTCTAATCCCCAGACATATGCTTGCAGGTAGTGGGGCATTTTTGTTGTAAGGTTCTAATGGGCCACACTAAGAAATGACTGGCACAACGGAAACATTTATGAATAAAAGAGCTGATGACCCACTGGACTCGGGTTAGGAAGCTGCTTCTCAGACGGGGTAGTCCAGAGCAGAGGCTCAGCAGGTGGGTCTGGAGTCAGATCACCCTGGTGGGAATCCTGGTTCCGCTACTTCCTGCTGTGGAAACTTGAGCCAAGTCTCTTCCTCCCTGAGCCTCAGTTTTCTTATCTGTAAAGTGGGGATAGTAACCCCACAGCTCTGTGGGGGGGAATCAGAGGCGATGAGGAATGTAAAAGATCATATGAAATCATCTCTATTTGATCATTTTGACCTTCAAAACAGCTTTTCACATAGTTCAAGCTGGCAGGTGCCTGGCACGTAGTCAGTGAGTAAGAAATGGTGGCTGTCAACACCTCACATCTAGTTGGGCTATTTTTATGTTTCCATTGCCTAGCCAAACAGGCGTTTCTTTCTTTCATTCAAAACGTATTTGGGGCACGTGGGTGGCTTGGGGCGCCTGGGTGGCTCAGTCTGTTAGGTGTCCGACTCCTGATTTCAGCTTAGGTCATGATCTCAGGGTTGTGGGATCGAGGCCTGGGTCGAGCTCTGCGCTCAGCTCAGAGTCTGCTTGTCCCTTTTCCTCTGCTCCTCCTCCCCGTGAGTTTGCTCTCTCTGTCTCTCAAATAAATAAATAAGATCTTAAAAAAAAAAAAGTCTTTGCCGAGCGCTATGTGCCAGGAATTGCAGAAGGTAAGTAGAATAATCCTTGTAACATTTCCAGTAGCAGGGTAGCATGTAAGGAGGGCTCCAGAACGCAGGTCAGAGACTGGTCCATAAGAGTCATCTGGCAGCATACCCATGACGGACAAAATGGGCCTTAGCTTATAGAGCATGAGGGGCTGGGACACAAGCAGGCTTGACCTGAACCTGGCACTTTGCTTCCAGACTAGCTAGAGAAGCCCAGACCTTTGTTTTCTCAGAGATCAGGGCTCAAAAGGAGCCTGGGCTGCCCAGAGGTGAAGCACAAGTGAAAAGGCAGATTTCTCACATCAGCCAGCCTGGAGACAAGGCGGCAGAGCTGAGCTTTCTGCCTGGGCATGTCCTTTTTCTGGTTGTTCAGCTGGCGGATGAGATTCCATGTGCTGTCATTTGATGTCACTCACTATATTTAGTTACCAAAAATATCGCCCTCGGTCCCCTGGACCTGATGCCACTTGGGTGAAGATCCTGGATATGTAGCACTGGGCAGGCAGAATTCATCCCTGGCTGCTCTTTTGTTTTGGGGGGAGGGATCCCACTTCCACAAGCTTTTGGCTCTGCTGAGGTATGGATCAGGTCCCGTTTGGAATGAAGGGGCTGAGATAATGGAGACTTCAACTCCACTCACTGGGGACCTGCAGACAACATCCCGCAGTAACGTGTGGACTCGAGTTGTATCCCAGATGACAGTGAGGGGAAGGAGGCTAGAATCGAGGCGGTTCTATTTTCTATGAGGCTGGTGGGGGTTCTCATCTTGACAGTGGGCAGAGGTGGCATGGCCAAAGGTACTCGCCTTGCTGAGGGAGAGGCCAGTTCTGGTAACACGGCAGCAGCTACACTCAGGCAAGAGGACCTTCTGGAGGGGCAAGGCTCTGCGCACCGGGGCCAGGGAGGGCTGATGTCTATTTTATGCTTCTCTTTTCGGTATTATAATAATAAACTTTTGTTAGCTATTGCAGTCAGACTAGCTGGACACTGGGGATTTAAGGAATGTGCCTACACTTTTTTTTTTTTTAATTTATTCATGAAAGTCAGAGAGAGAGAGAGAGAGACGCAGAGGCAGAGGGAGAAGCAGGCTCCCCGCCTAGCAGGGAGCCCGATGCGGGACTCGATCCCAGGATCCTGGGATCATGACCTGAGCCAAAGGCAGACGCTTAACCATCTGAGCCACCCAGGCGTCAGGAATGTGCCTACTCTTATAACTGGGCTCAGCCTGGCAGAGAAGATTCTAGAACTATGCTTTCAACTGTGGTAGCCACTTGTGGCTAATCTGAATGAAGATGTCCTATAAGTAGAAAATTTAAAATTACATGCATGGCTTGCATTACATTTCTTTTGGAAAGTGCTGTTCTAGAAGTCTCAGGGTGACTTCCAGCCATGCTGTAGGTGAGTGGCCAAGATAGGAAAGCACCACCAGGCTGGATTTAACACACCACCATCCCTTGGGGAGTCTCAGAAATTGGTGGTTGGGGAAACCCTAGTGAAGATTGTCATTGCTGTGGCTTGGGCCACCTTCGTTGGGTATAAAAGGGAAGCATGACCTCAGAGAGCTGGACCCACGGGTTAAGTCTTGGAGTATGAGAACTAGTGGTTTTCATTTTGCAGTCTCTTCTTAAGATGGCTTCACCAAAACATCAGTCCAGAAGTCCAAGATGGGGCTGAGGGGCAAGAAGCCCCCAGGTCCATTCCAAAGAGCTGAGGAGTGGCTTCCAGGCTCATCAAGCAACTAGGTGGCTTTATTTTTGGGCTTCAGAGAGTTTGTTCACAAAGACCCGGTTAGACCATGGCTATGTAGTATGGATTTTTATACCATGGGTCAAATCACAAATGTCCACATGTAACAATTCCATATTATAAGAACATGATGTGATCCAGAGCAGTGGACACTGTTGGTGCCCTACCAGATCCTCTTCTGGTTGTGAGCCCACTCCCCAGCTCCTGTGATTTTGCTGCTAACTGCAGCTGTGATCCTCTTTAGATGATTGCTCATGGGCTACTGCTGCCACCTTACCCATTCAGAGAGCCAAAGTCCCCATAGCCAATGACTGGCTGGTGCAGGTGTACAAAACTCTGCCTCCAGGTGGGACAATTCTGAGCTGCACTTATGCTCCAGAGCTCTCCAGTGATCAGGCTGAGGCTACACCTCAAGTCACATTCTCGTTCGGCTTCTTCCCTTTCCCTGTCCTGTACCCTTCACTTAATAAATAATAAATCACTTGTTCCCAATTGCTCATTTCAGGGTCTGCTTCTGGGGAACACCACCAGAAAAACACAGCCAGACTTTATTGTGTGTATTGGTCTTGACCTTGGGTGGTGGCCATGTGATACACATCCATTGAATGTGTGGGGGATTCCAAACTCTTGAGATACCTTTAGCCCTGACCTTGTGCCCAGAAGAGCAGGCGTTGCAAGACCAGAACAGTGCCTCTGTCTGGCCTGCTTCACTCCAGGCTGTGTTGATGAGGCAACAACAAACATCACAACACATGACTTCCCCTCTGATGGTTTATTTTATTGCTATTTAATTAGGCTCTTCCCCAAACATCTTTTTTTTTTTTTTTTAAAGATTTTATTTATTTATTTGACAGAGAGACACAGCTAGAGAGGGAACACAAGCAGGGGGAGTGGGAGAGAGAGAAGCAGGCTTCCCGCAGAGCAGGGAGCCAGACGTGGGGCTCCATCCCAGGACCCTGGGATCATGACCTGAGCCGAAGGCAGATGCTTAACGACTGAGCCACCCAGGCGCCCCCCCAAACATCTTTTGATCTCCATCATGGTCTCTCATCCAGAAAGTTGAAACTGTGCCCTGCTTCTTGCCATCTTCATGGCATACCCCCCTTCCCTCTTACACAAAATATTTCAAAATAAAGATCGAAACAGGAACTTAGTTGAGTTTTGCAACACAGAACTGTATCCTAGGCCTACATTTATAGAAAGTGGGGGGTGAGGAAGAGCGATGAGTCCATGGGGATTGGGGGAGGTGCACACGCTGAGGGTAGTCACACGAGGCAGGGTGGGCAAGCAAGACGGAAATATGAGTCTGAGTCCTGGACACTCCAGAATCATCAGAAATTATCAACTTACCGGTGGGGAGAGTTTTAGAAAAATCTATAAACACACACTGTCTCCACATGGGAGGTGCTCACTTCCTCTTAAGGTGGAGTAGAAAAAAAAATGAAAGAAAACCCCAAACCCCCACATTAACTTAATACACACACACACACACAAACACACACACACACACACACGACAAACTCTAAGTCTCCAGATGAACACTTTCAAATAGGCACTTGGTGTTTTCAGCTCTGGGGTTGCAGAGATCTGGGGCTTTGGCCCCCAAAGTCAGGGGCACAACAGCTTCTGAAGACTCTGGGGTCTGATCTGTCGGATGGTACTGGCCCAGGTGGGTGGGAAAGGAGGCCTGGTTGAAAAAGAACCCTCCACCTTCATCCAAAATAGTGATTTGCAGGAAGATCTGTGCTCTGGGCATTTCCTGAATATAGTGGGTTGCCGCTTCTAAAGAGCACATCACTAAAAGGACAAATGCTGGCCATTTAGATGTGGACAGTGCATGTTGAGAACTGACCGGCTCCAGGAGGCAGGGACCAGGCCCAGTGTGCTGCTGACCACCATATACCTCAGAAGCCAGCACTGTGCCTGGAGCTTAGTAGGCATACAACAAATGTTTGCTGAACGCGTGAATGAAATAACCCAAGAAGAAGATCCTGTTCTCCCAAGAATACAAATTTATAACCCTCTCATTGGCTATAAACTGGTTCTTTTTAGCCTGCAAAATGTAATTATAATTCACTTATTCTCCTGACATCAGCTGGCCCTCAAGGAAATTTTTTTTAAGTTGAAACCGAGTCTTTTGGGTTGGAGCCAGGGAATGAATCTAGTTATGTAAATGAGAGGGTGTTCAGCAAATGCGCCGGTGAACTTCCATGGGAGAGACAGTCTGTGTCTAAGGCCACCGGCTGGTCCAGAACTGGCTGTTGGGCTGGGGGCCAGGCCAGGTCCTTAGATGTTGGGTCTAAGGTCTGGGGAGAAGAGGTGGGTCTTTAATCATATCCTGGGGGCAGGTCTGAGCCTGGCTGATGGTGAAAAAGTCCCCATCTAGCTGCTTAGAGGGATGGCATCAGGAATAGGAAGTGGAGGCAGGCGAGGAGGGGGGCCAGGGACTGCCCAGGGAATGGAGAACCAGGCAGGAGAAGGATATGGCTGAGCCCGGGCATCTACACCCACGGCGCTCTCAGGTACAAGGACGCTGGTCTGGGGGGACCCCCCCAAGCATTTGGGAGAGCCTGTGTCCATCAGAAAGATGAGGTATAAGGAGCATCTTGGAAATGGAGAGGTCTGATAAAATCCACTTCTGGGGAAGGTTCTAAGCTAAATTATTGGACCCTCAGGGAATGGGGAAGCTAGTCAGTGATGTCTACACTGCAGAGAGAAAGCCAAGGGGATCTGAGAGAGGCCGGAAGGAATGAATAATTGGAGGCAGCCACCTGCACACCCCAAGGGAGCTGAATTTGAAATGATGACAGCAGTTCAAGGTACGTCTGGGGCCCCAGGGTCCCTTTCCGTGGGATCTACCTTGACCTTCAGGGCACGGTTGCCAGAGCTGGCGATCCCAGAGCCTCCAGAACCTTCTTCCCTTCTCCCTTCCTTCAATTGTGGACAAGAGACTAAGGACTCTTTGGGGAATGGTTTGGGTACAGAGTTTTTGTTTCTTTGTTTTCCATGTCAGGGCTATACAGATGCCAGCCAAATGCACAGCTGTTTTCAGGAAGGACCGAGTTGAGACTCATCAGGGGTGACTTTGGTGGACGCTGGGGCCCTTCTGAGAGATGGCAAAGTACAGATACCCCAAACCCCTACCCCCTTCCCGGAGGCCTCCAGTGGGGAGGGGGGACAGTCCAGGCCTTGTCAAGTCCTTGCCAGGCAGGGGGAAGCTCTTGGTGGGGGAGGGGTTGGTGCCAGGGGTCTGGAGAAGGAAGGGAGGAGAGACGTGCCAGGGCCCCTGTCGTGTCAGCCCAAAGCCCGACAGTTGTGTTTTCTCTTCTTGGTAATGCAAGTGCCTGACTTGGGCTTTGATCCCTGAGGTATCCACTTTAAAGCAAGCTGTCTCCAATAAGCTCGTTGCCAGCCACAGGACTAGATAAAAGTCCAGGCTTCCTCCTCCCCCAGGCTCCTTTGTTTTAGAAATCTTGGCTGGTTTCTAAAGCTGACCATTTGGGCCCCTTGATTTTCCTCGTCCCCGAGTTTTACATTCCTGCTTTTATGTTTTAAGCTCACCAATAAAGAAGGAGCCCGCAAAAGCCCCGGCCCCCACCCTCGACCCCCCAAAAAGCAGAACCCCAGGCCTGTGCCATCTCTCTCTCTCCCTGCGACTTTGCTGTGTGGCCCCAGGTGTGCCGCAAAATTTCCAGGTCCTGGAAATAATCATCCTTCCCCCCCCCACCCCAAGTGTCCTGACCATTATTGCTGAAGGGCGTCTTGCAACCCTAAGAACCACGAGGGCCGGTCCCGCCACAATCTTGGTTAGCGACAGGCTGAGACCCGCACAGCACAGCCCCCCCGCAGCTCAGGGCACCATGTGCCACCACTTGAAGGAGAAGGGCTTCCTGCGGACATTGGTGCCGCAGTGCACCTCCCCCAGAAACTTGTGGTAGGCGGAGATGTCATCCACGAAGGTGCAACAGAGGCCCAGGGGCTCCAGCAGGGAGCGCACGTGCATCTCCAGACAGCACACCTCCTCCACTTGGGGCCCGAACGGCTTAGGGATGCCCAGGTCCTTGTCAAGCACGATCATGTTCACCTATGATGGGGGTGAGGCAACAGCTCCCATTTAATGAGCACCTACTACTCGCCGGGCCCTGTTCTAAGCTCTTGGGCATTCCTAACTCCCCTATGACGTAGGTGTTGCGATCATCCCCATTTTACAGATGAGGAAACCGAGGCACGGAGGGGGCAAAGCAGCTCATACATGGCAGAGCTGAAGTGGAAAACCAGGGGACCTACCTCGGCATGCATGTGTGTGTACAGTACTTGCACGTGGTTAAATGTGTACGAATGGGCGTGTGCGTGCAAGTGTGTATCAGTGTGTGTGTTCTAACCTCCCTCCGTCTCACAGAATATTCTCCTCTACGACAACAAGCATCCCTCCTGTCCGTAAAGGCCTTTTTTAACTAGAAGGTACTTTCCTATCTGTTAAGGGAAAGGATTTCCCAGAACCCCAGGGAGGCAGCTAGGATGAGCATCTCACCCCTAGGACGGAATGCAGCCCAGAAGGGTGAAGGGCCTGGGGTGGGTGGGAGAGGCCACAGAGCGGCTCAGCCAGGACAGGGACCAGGACCTCCTGAGGGAACAGCCTCAGCTGAGGGGTCCTTCTGGATCTGGCTGCCCCTGATCAGCCTAGATGAGGTTTGGGGCCCAGAGTGCCTCACCATGTTTGGGAAGTAGGCTCTGGCCTGGCGGTCCTCATCCATCTTGAACAGAGCGGGCAGATCAATGATGTCCTGCTCTGTCAGCCCCAGCTCCTTCTTGAGGATGTCACGGTTCCAGTCCAGGCAACGCTGGGTGAGGGGAGAAAAGGGAGGGCAGGCAAGTGAGGGGACACTCCTGCCACTTTGTCAACCCTGCTCCTGTCTGCAGCAGCAGACCCTGGGCCCCAGCACTTCAGGGAGAGTTCTAGCGCTCACCTAGCCCCCTTGCCACCTCTCCAGTGCCCCTCCCACCAGGGTCCGGTGACAGTGGTAACAGAGAGAGAAGACAGAAGATCACAGAAATCATGCTTTTAGATAGAAGTGAGACGGGGACTCAGAAGGTGGGACCCATTCATGGTAAACTTCCGGGAACGCTGATCCCCTAAAATACATAAAAATCCAGGGCGTATACTGACACTTGCGTTTTTCTAGAGGGCAGTCTGGAGCTTGCGTCATATTTTATTTATCTATTTTTTAGTTAATTTGTTTTTTAAGTAGACTCCATGCTGGGCATGCAGCCCCATATGGGGCTTGAAATCATGACCCTGAGATCAAGACCTGAGCTGAAATCAAGAGTCGGATGCTTAACCGACTCAGCCACCCAGGCGCTCCTGCATCATATTTCAAAGGGCCCCAGATGTCATGGGCTCTAGACTCACAGAGCTCTTGGCTCTTTGACACTGCCTGATATGCTTTCCTTCCCTGGTTTCCTGTCTGCTTCTGGCCTCTGCTGACCCGCATGCCTGCCTTTGTCCCTCCATTTAGCTTCTGGCTTTAGCACAGGAGCAATGCAGGGAGGCTGGACCAAATGCTCATGGAGGCCCTTCCCTCTGACATGTGCCGTTGGTCCTTCCCTCTGGAAGCCGTGAGGACGTGATCGGTGTCACTGGGCACAAACCCTTCCCTCCCAGGGCCCCCCGCTCCGCCCTCACCTGGAAGTACTGGTTCTCTTGCATGAGGCTCTCATTGGATAGAATCTTGTTGATGGTGATTCTCTTGCTGCTCATCCCGCCCAAGCCTGTAGAAGTCAGACATCATAAGGGACAGTCTGGCCTCAGGTACCCAGCCTGGGTGCTCCCCTCTATCAACAGCCCCCCCCCCCAGCTTTTGGGCTAACTGCTGGGAGGAGGGAGATGGAGCTGGGACAGGCTGGGACACAGGAGGGGAGCCCCCGGGAACCCAGGTCCCTCTGCCAGCATGACCATGTTGCTTGGACCAGGGACAAAGGGGTGGTGCCTTGCTCTCTTTCTGGCCAGAGGGTGGGGGTGGCACAAGTAGGTACCTGGGTCTCCCACCTGGAGCCTACTTCTAAGGGTAAGCAGCTGACCAGGTGAGGGTGGCGAAAGCAGGTACCCAGAGGTCACCCTTCTGTTTTCCAGACCTGCCTCATGCTCGGCCCCTGCCCTGGTCGCACTGCCTGCACCCACCTCCTAGTTCGCACGTAGATTTTGGTTCGATTAGTGATACCTAACACTCACTGAGCACCTACTGTGTGACAGGCACCCTTCTAGATGTTTTAGAGGGATTATGCAAGCTGGTGCAGCCACTCTGGAAAACTGTATGGAGGTTCCTCAAAAAGTTGAAAATAGAGCTACCATACGACCCAGCAATTGCACTCCTGGGTAT